AAAATAAGGCAACTTCCTTTATATCTGTGACTGAAGAACCCTACTCCTGACTCTTTGTCTTTACTTTTTCCCTTTACAGAACAATCTTTGAATTTAAGGAATTCACTTTCCCCTTTTAGGCTCAAATTCAAAACTTCCCATAAGCACACCATCTTACCTGGCCTCATAGTCATTTCGGACCAAGAGTAAGTGCTGCAGGATGGAAAGGAAGTATGGCTCTGCCTTTGAATCCTTCACTGTGTTTAAGAGAATCTGGAAGACTTCACTAAAGTCAGTGAAAAAGGAGAATAAGCTAAGGAAAGCGAACATGTAGAAATTATGTTTGACAAGTGGCTTATTCAACTCTTGGAAAAGCTAGGGAAAAGTAACAAGACGCCACTTCCATTCTACTGACTGTTCTTCCTGTAAACATCACTAGAGGCTTTAAGCTCTCTAAAACGTCCTTTTGCCAAGGGACCAGTGAGTTGGGTGGTACTATACACACAGAGGATCTCTAGTAAGTACTTGGCTTGATGATCAGGCAGTAGATAGAAACTAAGAGATAACTGCCTCAAAGTTACTTATTGAAAATATTAACAGGTAACTAAATTACTCCTTCTGTCAGTCCAAACATGTCTAAAATTCAGTTCTACACCTTAGAAAGGCTAAGCTATCACGTTCTAGGAAGTTTACAATGATTTTGATGGCTTCTATGCTCAACAACCCTCAGATCACCTTTACTGATTTCCCTGGTCTATAATAAGGTAAGTAAAGCCAGCAGCAATAAAAATACACCTGCCTTATTTAATGAGAAGACACACAAGCCTAATGCTGTTTTGAGTCATCATCCCCTAAAACATTCCACACAGGGATCAGGGAACCAAATACAATGAATGTCTCATTTGTCTTGAAACGAGTCGGTAAAAGGATATTCCATCTCCATGCGAATGTCATCCAGCCGTCCCTTCAGGTCATAGGAATCCTCTTCCCCTTGTTCATCAAACACATTTAGTTGCACTCTCATATCATCATTTTCAATCTCTCGAAGGTCCTGTCAACAACGAAAGTAGAAGTTAGGGAACCCAAAAGTATCCTATGTGGTTAGAAACCTAAGCTTTTCAACCTGGTTTTTAATTGAAAACCAGAGTTGTCCCAGGAATTGTTGAGCCCTAGAGCAGGAAGGAACCAGGCTAGCCTTTCTAATGAAGTATAATATCTTACCTGCAACACCTGATGTAGCCCCAAGCGCATCAGTTCACTTCTGATGTGAACTCGGAAGTCAAGTTCTTCAGCTGGTGTGATGAGAGCATTAATCAGCTGTAGGCATCCAACCTAAAATGTGAAAATTCAGCAGCTATGTCAGTGCTAACTCCTGGATATCAAGAATCCATTTTCTTTACATACATTATTAGGTCCCCAAATACAACCTGAAAGATACAATACAAAAACTCTAAAAATGACTTTTCTACTACAGCAATGAAACCTGGTTTGAGTACAGATCTAGCGAGCCCAAAACTCTAAATTATTCCAAGGATTTGACAGTATATGTTGTTGTAGGTCTCAGTTTTCCTAGATTACAAACAGATACCATGCTCTTTTCCATCTCATAATGAGGAAAACAGTTCATTCTTTATCTTCTTAGAGAGAAGGTGAATCATTTTCCTTTCAGAACAGATTGTGAAATGTAAAATATATAGTTGGGAGCCACTCCATGTATTCTAGTAAAAGATCAAATGAATTTAAGTCTGTACATCTTGAATTCTATTCTTGGGCCCAGTTTCAGGGGATATACATGCCTTCAGTGCAATAGAGGTCCCACTTTTTAATCCATCCAGCAGTGGCTGGAAACGTTCCACTTCATCCATCTCAGCTCTTTCTGTCATTGCCTCCAAAACCCTTTCATTCCTGCCCAAGAGAAAGGAAAGGGAGAGAACTTTCCAGGTATTCTGACGCAGACATGTATAATGAGTAGATTACACAGGGGCACAGACCAGTTAGGAAAAAGGACATTATCAGTGTTACAGATTTCTCACATTATTATTCTCACCATTCAGTTTCCAGAAACTGCTGAAAACTAAGGACAATCACTTCAGAGAAATGCATTCCCTAAAACCCATCCCTAGGCTTCTATCCATAAATACTAATCAAGTCCCCCGTTCCATGAAGTATAAACTGATACAACTTTTGGAGGGGCATTTAACAGTACTAATCAATTTTGCATGTATGTAACATATAGTCTACTTCCAGAAATGTATCCAACATATATGCATAAATGTGAAAGAAGATATGCCAAGGACATTCATTGCAATATCATTTGTAAAAATTATCATCTGGAACAGGTACAGAAATCTGCTTTAAAAAGTATCTGTAAGTCCAGAACAGGGTAATTGTTAAATAAATTATAGGGCTACATACATGCATACAGAATACTAAACAGCCACTAAAGATAATAAGGTAGACCTGTAAGTAGTGACATAGAAAAAATGTCCAAGATCTATTAAAAAGAAACAAGTTGAGAAGAATGATTTAACTTTCGTTAAACCAAATCCCTCTACAATAATAAAAATCTATCCTATATATGCAGTTGGTTTTATAGGCATAAGTGACATTCCTCAGCTCTTAAGATACTATCTCTTGGGGTGGCAGATGTCTAGAATCAAGGGAATGCAATATGTGTGTCTATGCCTAGAAAACATTCTATGAGACTATATTATCCCATTAACAGTCATTCTCTCCACAGAATAGGATTTAGCAAAGGGATGAGGCAGTTACATTTTACTTTATATACTTCTATAATGTTTGGATTTTAAAAATAACATTGTGTCACTTCTGAATTTAAAAAAAAAAAAAAAAAGAACAGTAAAAAGAAACCCTTGTCCTAGACAATAGAGACATTAGGAGACATCTTGCTATATCTCTGATAAGCAGAGGAACATTCAGGATAGCACCAATCACTTAGGAACTGTTCTTAAATGTTAAGATTCTTAGTGTTCACTTCTGGGAAGAAATACAATCTTACCTAGTATTTATGACCAAGGGGACACCCAATCAACTCAATTGTCCTCTAAACTAAGAAAACGATAAAATTGCAAATGAAGAAGAAAAATGATTCCAGTCACATACATATCCTCTGGTTGTGGTAGAATACAAAGAGCAGAAAGCAGCTTAGCTGCATCAATCATCATGTTGGGAACAGCAGGATCCATGGCTCTGACCAGCAGTAGGATTCCTTCTTCTGTCTCCAACATGGTCTTGATTCCAAACTAGTAGGGCCAAGAACAAAGAATGGAGGATGAAAGATGACAGCATCTAACTGGGGACAAGTTTAGGGGTTGTTACGGGTTGAATGGTATCCTCTCAAATTCATATGCTGAAGTCCTGACCTCCAGTACCTCAAAATGTAACCTCATCTGGAAAAATACTTGTTGTAAATATAATTAGTCAAGCTATAATGAAGTCATACTGGAGTAGAATGGGTCCGTAATCCAATATGGCCAGTGTCCTTATAAAAAGAGGAAATTTGGATATGGATACAGACAGAGGGAGAACATCATGTGATCACATAGGCAGAGATCAGGATGATGCATCTACAAGATAAGGAGTGCCAAGGATTGCCAGCAAACTACCAGAAACTAGAAGGGGTATGGAACACATGATCACACACAGCCTTCAGAAGAACCAACCCTGCTGATACCTTAGATTTTGGAATTCTATCCTCTAGAATTGTGAGAAAATAAATTTCTGTTGTTTAAGACACCTAATTTTGTGGTACACTGGCAAACTAATACAGGGTAGAATACTTTTCCCAATATAATTAGAGATGAACATACCAAAATAATTTTCTAGGAGACACGAAATAATTATATGTCTTCCAAGAATAAAAGTCTCTGACTTTTATGTTTCTTGTTAATTCTCTCCCTCCTAATCCAATGGAATAAGTTAATTATAATAAAATTAAACAGTGAGGAAGAGAGATTTGCACTTAGAGGCACATGATTGTGGGCTTCCTGGGTTGAATTACTAAACAGGCAAAAAGAAGATTAAAAAATTCTAAAGTAGAAACAGTCTAGAAGAAAAAAGAAACAGAAAATAAAGTAAATCTTCCAAAAACAATTACTACAGGTCAGGAAATTCAAGAATTAGCAAAAGAAAGTAAAGAAAGAGAAACAAAATTGAGCCTGTTCTCTGCAACAGAAGTTAGAACTGAGAAAAAAATGTCCATAGAAGCATGTCTGCGTGGTAATGAAAAACAGTTATGAAGCCAAGCACGGTGGCTCATGCCTGTAATCCCAGAACTTTGGGAGGCTAAGGCGGGCAAATCACCTGAGGTCAAGAGTTCGAAACCAGCCTGGCCAACATTGTGAAACTCCATCTCTACTAAAAATAAAACATTAGCTAGGTGTGGTGGCATGTGCCTGTACAGGAGGTGGAGGTTGCAGTGAGCAGAGATTGTGCACTGCACTCCAGCCTGGGCGACAGAGTGAGACTCTGTCTCAGAAAAAAAGAATAACAGTTATGATACTAAAAGAGAAAGCTAGAAGTCTTGAACCTCATATTCTTAGTTCCTATTTTGAGTTTGCCAATAGAAGAGAAAGAGCAGGGATCCAGATGGGGTTTGGAACGAGAATGAAAAAAATCTCACCTTGTTGTTCATAAAAGCTTTTAAGCAGCGAATGATCTCATGCTTGTTCCGGCTATCGTAACTCCTGTAATAGAAGACATCGACATCATCAGTGAGGTCCCTTTATTCTCTACCACTTTCCCATTTTTAATCTTACAAACAAGGTTCTTAGGAATAATAACCCCAACTAGTAGCTGAGTAAATTCTAGCACATGGCACTTTGCCCAGAAACACTGACGAAAATAGGTAACTAAAGAGGGATCCTCACCATCAAAGAAGTTTGGCTGATCCTCTTGTAATCCAGGAATTTAGTATTACATTAAAACCTTTGTTTTAACTCCCTCTAGGCTCCTAAGTGCTAAATTGTATCAGGATAACATCCCATCTATTGCTGCTTGCCTTGCTACTTCACAGGTTTCAACACTGAAAAGGTATATACAGGTCTTGGCCTTGTATTATTTTGTTTCAGAAAGATTCCAGGAAGTATTTTGCTTCAGGCTGGCTTCAAGGTAGCCTAAGACAGTGCAAGGTATACCTAAAAATTATTCCAACTTTGAAGACTGCCACAATACTAGTCCCAAGTATATTATAAGACTTCCAAATGGATATCACCCAGACCAGATTACAGGGCCTATATCAGATTTTATTTCCAGATTGAAAAAGAACCAGTGCTGGGAGACTAATAATATTATGTGGTATATATTAGAGTTATTCAACATGAAATTTAAGTTCCTCCTCCCTTCCCTGTATCTATAATCATCATTCATCCTCTAGTCACCACTATGATAAACCCTTTCTCAGCTAAAAGTACATCCCCCGCAGCCCAAAACTTTACATAGCTATTTTCTCCTTCAGAGCAAATAGCCAAGTCCCCTATGACCTTCCAAGTAGAAGTTGCAAAGACCTGGAAGTCCTTACCCAGCAGTCTCTTCTTTCTCATCATGAAGTCGTTTAAGAATGTCCAATAAGGAGGCCAAGCCTTCGGCACCAAATGTTTGCACCCAACTGTAAGGAACAGATAGAGACAATGCAGTATCAAATCAATAAATACTTATTTGCCAAACAAAGTTTATCCTGACAGCTTTCTACTTCCAATTCAGACTATTCTCATACTTCACCGGCTCCTTTGATCTTCAGTCACCACCAATGAGCTCCAACATTGGGCTCCTACTCCTGTTATCTCCTCAGAATGCTCACCTGACAGGGTTGTTGTTGAGAGAGACACGAAGGGACTCCAGGCAGCTGAGCAGAGGCATATCCCGCAAGCCTGACCTCAACTCCTGAATATACATCATGGCAGACTTAGAGCTCTCCTTCTGACTCATACCCTGGACAGAAGGCATAGATACAGATTAGTAACAGTGGACCCAGTCATAAATTAGGGACTAGTATTAGTCAATAGAGTTTGTATTTTGTTTTTATTTTTAATTTTCGGTAGAGACAAGGTCTCACCATGTTACCCAGCCTGGTTTCAAACACATGGGCTCAAGCGATCTTCCTGCCTCAGCTTCCCAAAGTACTGAGATTACAGGAGTGAGCCACCACATCAGGCCAAGTTTATCAGGGCAGATACCCATCACACATACCACCAACATATGTGAGACTTAAAACTGCCTATCTCATTCCCTATATTTACATACTTCATGAACATTTAACCAGGCAAAAAGTGTGGAAGAATAGTAGCTCGATAAGACAGTAAAGTTAATGGGTTTATATAGTAGAGTGAAACAGAATTGATGCAGACATAAAATGTTACATAAAACTGGCAAAACAAACAGGTCCAAGACAAGGGCGCAGTCTCCCATGTCATGGATACCTGCCCCAGGACTCACAGCCTTGGAAGTATACAAGTACTGGGACACCATCTCCCTCTTGATGATGATGTCCTTCTCCCTCAAAGGTTGCTGTTTCTCCTCATTCAGATTCATATCCAGCTAGGATAGGGTGAAAAAAGAGAAAAAACAAAATTGTCTCAAATTCCTTATAAATTTTGTGTTTAACATTAGTATACTTAGTGAAGAGTTGAGCATATAAAAGCTTATTGAGTAAATAAATTCTTGATCCCTAGAAATTTAAGCTATTACAGCTGATGAAAATTCCTCAAGGATAAGTATAGTTAACATTTTAGTATAAATCTCTACAGACATGTTAACATATATTTTTTCTCTAAGAAAAATGGCCTCAATATAAATGAAAAATTTCTTCTGTATTATTGGAAGAAAACCACAGATAATGTTTTTTTGCATCAAGGATGGACCTTAAAAATCTCTTCAGACTGAAGCACTGGATGACTGACATAATCCAAGCACCTGCAAAATCAACTGCACCAACTCTAGGGTCTACAAACCCATTATCCCTGGTTAACTCAGCCCCTGTACAAACTCCTTTCCCATGAAGAAAGAACTGGAAACTCTATGATAAAGCAGAGGCCCCTTAACAGACATAATCTGATATATGTTTGGGGAAAGGCTCTGCTTGATACTTCTGCATGCATAACAACCATGTGTCCAAACCTAGTACCTTGGAGGGCACAAATTTAGCCCTAATAATTCCAGAATGATATTTGAATTGAGGAAAATATGGGGTGGAGGGATCCATTCTGTTTCTTCTGCAAGTAGCAAAATTAATTTGAAGATTTTGGGACTTAATTCCTGGTGCTTTTTCTTTTAGAGTTGAAGTCTTGCTTTATTACCCAGGCTGGAGTCCAATGGCGCAATCTCAGTTCACTGTAACGTCCACCTCCCAGGTTCAAGTGATTCTCCTGCCTCAGTCTCACAAGTAGCTAGGATTACAGGTGCCTGCTACCACACCCAGCTAATTTTTATATTTTTAGTAGACAGGGTTTCACCATGTTGGCCAGGCTGGTCTTGAACTCCTGACCTCATGATCTGCCCACCTCAGCCTCCCAAAGTGCTGGGATTATAGGTGTGAGCCACCATGCCCCGCCAGGTGCTTTTTACCTCTTGCAGATAAACTGAACATAGAAGTTACAAAAAGGTGGCCCTCAAGTTAAATCAAACCCGAAGATAAAATGTTTCACTTGGCTAGCTCAACATTTTAAATTTGGGGGACCTTACATAAAAATACTGATCTCTAGTAAAACAATACCAAAGGATGCAACCATCAAATTTCATGTTGTGGGAAACTCTACAGGTCAAATGGTTTCTTCAGCAAGTTTTTTTTAATATATATATATCAATAGTAAGGATAAAAAGAAAAAGTGGGCTGGGTGCAGTGACTCACGCCTGTAATCCCAGCACTTGGGGAGGTCGAGGCAGTTGGATCTTGAGCTCAAGAGTTCAAGACCAGCCTGGCCAACATGATGAAATCCATCTCTACTCAAAACCCACAAATTAGCAGGGCGTGATGCTATGCACCTGTAATCCCAGCTACTCAGGAGACAGGCAGGAGAATTGCTTGAACACAGGTGGCAGAGGTTGCTGTGAAATGGGACCACACCACTGTACTCCATTTTGGGTGATAGAGCAAGACTCCATCTCAAAAAAAGAAAAAAAAAAAAGGAAGGGAAACCTATAGTTTAAATGAAAATTGAGAGTATCAGTACAGTGGGCTATATTTGGAATTGTGATTTGAACAAACCGGTTTTTCAAAAATGACCTGCCGGGCACAGTGGCTCACGCCTATAATCCCAGCACTTTGGGAGATCAAGGAGGGTGGATCACAGGGTCAGGGGTTTGAGATCAACCTGGCCAAGAGACCAGCCTGACCAATATGGTGAAACCCTGTCTCTACTAAAGATACAAATATTAGCTGGGCATGGTGGTGGGCACCTGTAATCCCAGATACTCAGGAGGCTGAGGCAGGAGAATCGCTTGAACCCAGAAGGCAGAGGTTGCAGTGAGCTAAGACTGCACCACTGCACTCCAGCCTGGGCAACACAGCAAGACTCTGACTCAAAAAAACAGAAAAGACCTAACTGGGGAAATTCAACTAGTGACTAGGATATTTGATGTTATTCAAGATTTATTGTTTTTTTTTTTAATCTGGCACTACTAGGCAAGCATTCCAAACTGGAATGCCACCACCTACTAGAACTGAGTGTGGCTGGCTTTTCTAACAAAAATACCAAAGCCTCTCTTCAATTTGCCACATTCCCTACTTATTTTGCCATCTTCTATCTAGCTTGCTTACCCCTTATTTATACTACCTGCCTGGCCCAAGTGACATCTAAACTTGCAATTCAAGGCCAAGAGATTATCTTGATATATCATACTCTTAAGACTCTTAATGCACTTGGAACACTAAGAGACAAACTAAAAGATTCAGTGAAAAAAAATAACACTAGTACCAGTTGAGTGCTTACTCTGTACCAGGCCCTGTGCTAAGGATTTTAAACCTAAGCTTTTAAGTAAGGTGGACCTGCAACTAGTCTCTATTTGAATCTGAGATCACATATCCATGCAAAATACAGGTCTTATGAAACCCTGTATTCATCAAAACTTTCCAAGACTTACCAATAATGGACATTCACTGAATGTCCTCCTTATTCGGTGTTCCTCACTGAGGACAGCAAAGTAAGTTACATGCACATATACTTCATTACTTAGCTCACTTCAGACACAATCTTTTTTTTTTTTTTGGGACAGAGTTTCGCTCTTGTTACCCAGGCTGGAGTGCAATGGCGCAATCTCGGCTCACCGCAACCTCCACCTCCTGGGTTCAGGCAATTCTCCTGCCTCAGCCTCCTGAGTAGCTGGGATTACAGGCACGCACCACCATGCCCAGCTAATTTTTTGTATTTTTAGTAGAGACGGGGTTTCACCATGTTGACCAGGATGGTCTCGATCTCTTGACCTCGTGATCCACCCGCCTCGGCCTCCCAAAGTGCTGGGATTACAGGCTTGAGCCACCGCGCCCGGCCTTCAGACACAATCTTTAAAGGTCTTCTAGCAATTCTATGTATTTTCTTTCCAGTTTCACCACTAAATCAGCAAATAATATTCCATCCTCAGTTTCTCCTTTAAACAGAGTTTGTTGTGAATACTTCGACACTTAATCTGCTCTGGCTTAACCCAAAGGTGGTCTCCATATTACCATCTTTGGTACACAGGGTGAGATGGTCCACTATGTCTTTGTGGCTAAAGTGTTGCTGGGCAGAAGGACATTAACAAGACAGTGATTGGATGTTTCCAAGCACAGATTCCAATCTTATGAACTGGTACTTGTATATTTACTCCCTAATTATGGGATGATAGGGTTAACATTTTAAAAGTTCCATGTTAAGCCTGGAATTCTTTGTAATAAAGGGCTAGCTAGGGGACCATGCACAAAAAAGAGCCAACCATGGCCATAAATGCACAGGAAGAAGCAACATTTTGGGAATGGGAAACTTACCAGCATCTGTTCAAAGAGAACCAGAACTTGTTCATCTGAAACATCTTGCAATGACTGTGCTGTAGGATCATCCCCATATGATGCAGAAGAATTTCTATGAGCAGAATTGGGCTTTTCCTTCTCCTTCTTAATTCTCATGCTGGTAAATCTCTCCAGCTGAGAAAGAGAAAAAAGCGTTAGCAGTGATCCATTTTCACTTACAAAACAAACCACACAGCAAATTCTTTACCCCTTTAACCTCTTACACATGCATGGTTCCTCTGGTTCATGAGCAGTTCAAGTCTCTTCTGACATGAAAAGAAGAAATCAGTCTTCCTCCTATCTAACTTAGCATACTGACTCTGTACTCTCATCTACGTTCAAAGAGGACCAAAGTATTAAGATTTCAAACCTCTTTAAAATAGAAGAAACATTGTTCTTGATCTCCCCTGCCATTTCTAAGCCTTGAAGCAGTACAGAGCTGAAAGCCTCTGATGACAGAGTTCTATCAATAAAATGCCCTTTGTTTTCTTCTAGCTACCCAATAATAAATGTGGCTAGGACCCCAGAGGATGCCTCCCTTCAGGATGTATTACCATACATTTTAATAGATATAAGCCACATAGGATAAATTTATCCTTAAAATCAGGATCCATTCCTTTCTCTTTAATTTGTACACTCCACGGCACTTGTGTGATGTAGGCAGCAAAAGTTCAATATCTATTCTTCAATATCCCGTTTTCATGACATCCAGTCAGCAAAGAATACAATGTACTTCAGGGGTATATATGCCATCTCTCTGCCAAACAAATGCTAACAAACCATTCCTCAAACCTCAAATACTGATGCTCAAATCAAAGAGTCACCAATAAGCTACAGCTTATCAGCTCTCCCTGCTTGAAAATAACATTAATTATCTGTTAGTATTATAGGGCTTCAAGTGATATGAGTGGCATTCAGACTGCAAGTCAGCTTGGAGTTTTAAGAGCATGCCTAACTTAGGAAGATAATGAATGTCCAGGGAAATGCATGCAGTGGGCCAAACACAGAGTAAAGAGTTAGGAAAAAAGCCTTGAGATACTCTGAGTAGAAGCCATATCACCATTATAAGTTACAGAAAGTCAAAGTTATGGAAACTGGTAAATATCATAGTGTAGGCAAAGAGCTAGAACATGCACATGCCAAACAAAACATCCTTACCTCATCCGCCATGAGCCGCTTCAGAGTCTAGGAACAGGAAAAAGGAAGGAGAAGAAAGAAGAGAAATCAGTGAAGTACCAGGAAACCTCCCAAACACCACACGGGTTGGGGAAAAAAGGGAGATAAGTTGAAAGGATCTAAGCTACTTTCCACAAGCTCATGATTTCTGCGGAAGGAGACCTTAGCACATTCCCTCAAGTAAGGAGCAGGAAGACTTTTAAGGTCACTAACATATGACTCTTAAGAAGGAAAAAAAAAAAAGGAGACACAGAACTGAACAGAATCTAAAGTTGATGACCAACACACGTATAAGAAATGCTCCACTTCATAGTAAATAAGGCAATGCGAATTAAAAACACAGCAAGATATTAATTCACACTCCCAAGACTTGAAAAAGTTTTCAAGTTCATTTAATCGTACACCAACAGGAACTCCTGGTGGTACTGTAAAATGCTATGGCCACTTTGGAAAACAGTAAGGCATTATTCAGTTAAGTTAAATATGCACATGTAGTACAATGCAACTAAAAAATGTCTATGTATCTACCCTGCTGAATTGTGCACATATGTAGTCGAATGTGTATGCCAAGAGTGTTCATAATAACACGATAATATGTAAATGGCCATCAAAAGTAGAATGGGCTTTCTGATCTGCCAACTGGATATATTGGAACCACCACCAAAACACAAATTTTCATAAAAATCCTTATGGGGGACCGGGCACAGTGGTGTACACCTATAATCCCAGCACTTTGGGAGGGCAAGGTGGGCGGATCACCTGAGGTCAGGAGTTCAAGACCAGCCTGGCCAACATGGCAAAACCCTGTTTCTACTAAAAGTACAAAAATTAGCCAGGCATGGTGGCAGGTGCCTGTAATCCCAGCCACTCAGGCTGAGGCAGGAGAATAGCTTGAACCCGGGAGGTGGAGGTTGCAGTGAGCTGAGATTGCACCACTGCATTCCAGTCTGGGCGACAGGAGTGAGACTCCATCTCAAAAAAAAAATCCTTATGGGGAAGGCCATCACTCTTGAGGTTGAACCCTTGGATACAGCAGTAAATGTAAAAGCCAAGATCCAGGATAAGGAAGGAATTCCTATTGACCCGTAAAGACTGATCTTTGCTGGCAAGCAATTAGAAGATGTGCTTTGACTGACTACAGCATTCAAAAGGAGTCCACTCTTCATCTTGTGTTGAGACTTTGTGGTGGGACGATAAAAAAGTTTTACACTACTCCCAGGAAGAAAAAACATGAGAAAGAAGGTAAAGCTGGCTGTCCTGAAATACCCTAAGGCCAAAGAGAATGGCAAAAGTAGTCACCTTCATTGGGGGTGTCCTTCAGATGGATGTTGTGCTACAGTGTTTATGGCCGGCCACTCTGACAGATATTATTGTGACAAAAGTTGTCTGACTTATTGCTTCAACAAACCAGAAGACAACTAATTGTGTATGAGTTAATGAATGATGTGAACTAAAAGAGTAGAGTGGACAAATAAACTGGTACATTAGTACAAGGAAAGCAATTTCACAGAGAAAGTGAATGAACTTACAGCTATTCATAAACACAATATTGAATTATTTCATTAATATTCAGTTTAAAAACATGTAGCACTACATTATTTGGGATGTAAAATTATTACATAAAGGAAATAATTACCATAAACGTCAAAACAGTGGTTGCTTGGGATGGGGGGGTTGTGACTGGGGAAGGGGACAAAGCAGTTCTTGGAGTGTTTACAATATTCTGTATCTTGACATGAATCACACAGCTGTCCAGTTTATAATTATTCTGTATGTTTTACATTCTCTTCTGTATACATATTATACTTTACCCCTCTCGCCGCCCCCCAAAAAAAGTCTAAATGAACAAGTCTGGGAAAGTGGAAATTTTTCTTCATCCTGCTTAATTTTAAACAATATTTCTTCTTCATTAATGTCCTTAGAAAAGTATAGTAAATCTCTTTCTCTCTCTTTTTTTTTTTTTTTTTTAAGGTGGGGTCTCCCTGTGTTGCCCAGGCTGGTCTCAAACCCCTGGGCTGAAGTTATCTCCCGCCTCAGCCTCCTGAGTAGCTGGGATTTCAAGTGCATACCACTACACCCAGTTGGTAAATGCTTCTTGACTAACCTTCCCCAACTAATGAAAAACTAGTTCCATTTCTGCCACAAAGCTATTTTTCCTCTTTCACAGACAAGAAAAATCGACAATATTATGTTCATGTTCCTCATATCACACAATTCCATTAAATCCAGTGTAAACTGTGAATCTATACTTGGTCCATTTTCCACCAACCTGGTGCTTTTGAAATAAAACAAACTTTGACCTCCATGGTCCAGAAGAGGTTAAGCTTCCACTGGCTGAGGGATAATCACTCACCCCAAACCATGAGAATCTTGCCATGAGAAAGTGTCCATGGAATGTACAGTTATTTCATGTGTTCTGATTACTAGAAGCAGGGCGGAAGGATGATGAGGCAGAAAGCACCACCCAAAATGACCAACAATGCAGTTCCTTTTGTCACTACCCTAAGTCCCTTGGCATACAGAAGGTGAAACAAGCACAAAAAGGATGAGTGCATAAAAATTTGGTTTACCGTAGCCCAGGTTAAACTTATTTTCTCCCAAGGCAATTGCTTTCAAAATTTTGTCCCCCAAACTCAATGAGTTCCCTCAGAACCAAGCAACAAGCAATCAACTCTGGGATGAATGTAATGTAGATAATAGAATCTGGGTCTAAAGAATTAATGGCAGATGAATTGGTCACAGCTTTTTTTTAAGTTAAAAAAAAAAAAAGCTGGTGGTGGGGTGGGAAAACGAGCAACCTGTTCTTTCTGCCTACAGACTCGATTCATCTCTCTTCCATCCATGTCTACCAGCACTACCTAAGTTCACACCAGTATTGTCTCCTGTTTGATTTATTCCAACAGCGTACTAACCGATCTCCCTGCCTTCAGTCCCATCTGCCCCATACCACATCCATTCTCCATACTATATCCAAGAGTAATCTTTCTGAAATGCCAAGCTGTCCATGTTATTTCCCCATTTAAAAACCTTCAATAGCGCTCCACTGCCCTATGATGAAATCCAAATTCTTATGCATGACATATGACTCTCCTAGCTTTTCCCCGCAGTCTCATCTCTCAGCAAGCCCTCCACCTCAAACTCCATCTTCATCTCCAAACAGATGACACTGTCTCAACACCCTAGACTTGCCCTCGGCTGCTGCCTCCTCAGCCTCGATTGCGCTTTCAAGGCTAACTCCAACAGGCCCTATAGAATGATCCCTCTTCTAAATGGTTATGTACCTTTCCTTGTGTTTCCACAGTAATAGGTACTTGCCTGTCTCACAGCACTAAAAATGGATTACAATTCTCTTTTGATATCTGTTTCCTTACCCCTTTCCAGACTAAGTTACTTGATGCCAGAGCCTGAAACTTAGTCATTATATCTCTTATGAACAAATACTATATAATTTAGGGTTGCTACCCTAACATGTCAATCCCTGGAAAAACCCTCCAAGTCTACTCCACCTCTTCATTATATTAATGAAGAGACTGAAGCCCAGCCCGGTGAAGTAAATCACTGAGGTCACATAAGGGGATGAGACGGATATGAAACTCAGGCACCCAGACTCCAAAGCCACCAAATCTTTGCATTGCCCAAATTCTTCTGCCTTTTTCCTATTCAATGTCCACTAAGTCTTGCCTTTAGATAGAAAAGAAAGGAAGGGAGATTTTCTTTTTTACAAGAAGGAAGATGCCAGTTTCCCTTGCTTTCCTGGAGGATCATCAGAAACAGATTTTATCCTTAAAAAAAAAAAAAAAAAAATTATCCGCCAGACGCTGTGGGTCAAGCCTGTAATCCCAGTACTTTGGGAGAGCGAGGTGGGCAGATCATGAGGTCAGGAGTTCAAGACCAGCCTGACCAACATGGTGAAATCCTGCCTCTACTAAAAATACAAAAATTAACCAGACGTGGTGGCTCACATCTATAATCCTAGCTACTCCGGAGACTGAGGCGGGAGAATTGCTTCAACCCGGGAGGTGGAGGTTGCAGTGAGCTGAGATCGTGTCTGGGCAACAAGAACAAGACTCCTTCTAAAAAAAAAAAAAAAAATATCCACGTTTTAGTGTTCAATTTAGGGAAGGACAGCACATAATCCATGAATGAAAAAAGCTGCATTTCCTCAGCTAGTCCATCAGAGGGCAGCAACAACCAGCAAAGTGAATCACTATAGTCAGTACAGGTAAAATTCTTTCAGAATCCAATAGAGCACTAAAACAGCAAGCTCAATTATTAAAATAGAAACCTGCTGCTACAGTATATTAAGAGTATATTGTTTAGTTAGTTAATACTATGTGTGTTCTTCTTACAGATTCTATGTATACTATGTTGGCAAACAGTTTTGTTCAGTAATCGTTTTTAAATTGTATCATTAGTTATGTGTATTCTCTGAAATGTAGAATAAATTCCTAGATCACGACAAGTTAAAAAAAAAAAAAAAAAACTAAAAAATAGTTGAGTCCAAGAAGATAAATGCTACTGGAACTTTATTTATGCAATATGTCTCAGATGTCCAAGCTTTTTAAAATTAAGTCTCTAATCAACCTACCTACATCACTTGTATCAATCTCCTTGTTTGCTGTCACTTATCTTCTGCTCCCAAACGAAACCCTTACTGTCCTAGCCTGGCTGTGGTAAATATTTCACTTCCTGGCCCTTCTACTGAGTCCTCCACTAAACAGTAGCACTTAAACCTTTAACTACAAATATAGATACTGAAGGAAGCATAAATACAGAATAAGATTTTTTTAAAAATATCCAAATCTGGCTTATAAATCCAGATTAATAGGAACTCTCAGGTGAAAGATGTCAGACCTAACCAAAACATCTAATTTCTCTCCTTGAAACCTCACTAAACCTACAGAAAAGGTGTTTAGAAAATAAGAAATGATGCAAGGAAAGAGCCTACAATACAAGGTTGGCAAGAACAAAAAGGCAACTGCAAATTTTGAAGATTGGGACTAGAAGAA